AGCCCTTAACCAGCAATGCAGTTTTAAGAAAAATAAGTGTTAAGTTAACAATAGATAAGTAAAAAATAAAAGTATAATGGGGGTACCGGTACTGAGTCAATATTCAGGCTATATACAGGGGGTACCGGTACAGAGTCAATGTGCTGGGGCACCGGTTAGTCAAGGTAATTGAGGTAATAGGTACATGTATGTATAGTTGAAGTGACTATGCATAGATAATAAACAGAGAGTAGCAGAAGCGTAAAGGCGGGGGGGGGGGCAACAATGCAATAGTCTGGGTAGCCATTTGATTAGCTGTTCAGGAGTCTTATGGCTTGGGGGTATAAGCTAATTGACCAAGAAGGAAAGTGATGGAGTGCTGCATCAGATGACCTGGCCTCCACAATCCCCCAACCTCAACCAAATTGAGATGGTTTGGGATGAGTCGGACGGCAGTGAAGGAAAAGCAGCCAACAAGTGCTCAGCATATGTGGGAACTCCTTCAAGACTGTTGGAAAAGCAATCCAGGTGAAGCTGGTTGAGAGAATGCCAAGAGTATGCAAAGCTGTCATCAACGCAAAGGGTGGCTATTTGAAAATATGTTTTGATTTGTTTAACACTTTTTGGGTTACTACATGATTCCATATGTGTTATTTCATAGTTTTGATGTCTTCACTATTATTTTACAATGTAGAAAATAGTAAAAATAAAGAAAAACCCTTGAATGAGTATGTGTTCTAAAACGTTTTACCAGTAGTGTACGTGATAATGCTATTCATTGACTACAGCTCAGCGTTCAACACCATAGTGCCCTCAAAGCTCATCACTAAGCTAAGGACTCTGGGACTAAACACCTCCCTCTGCAACTGGATCCTGGACTTCCTGACGGGCCGCCCCCAGGTGGTTAGGGTAGGTAACAACACATCCCCCACGCTGATCCTCAACACGGGGATCCCTCAGGGGTGCGTGGTTAGTCCCCTCCTGTACTCCCTGTTCACCCATGACTGCATGGCCAGGCACGACTCCAACACCATCATTAAGTTTGCCGATGACACAACAGCGGTAAGCCTGATCACTGACAACGATGAGACAGCCTATAGGGAGGAGGTCAGAGACCTGGATGTGTGGTGCCAGGATAACAACCTCTCCCTCAATGTGATCAAGACAAAGGAGATGATTGTGGACTACAGGAAAAGAAGGATGAAGGGCGAGCGTGATCACATAGTCATCCGGAACAGCTGATACTCTCATGCATTCTTCAGTGTTGCTTGCCTCGAAGCGAGCATAGAAGTGATTTTGCTCGTCTGGTAGGCTCGTGTCACTGGGCAGCTCGCGGATGTGCTTCCCTTTGTAATCTGTGATAGTTTGCAAGCCCTGCCACATCCGACGAGCATCAGAGGCGGTGTAGTACGATTTAATCTTAGTCCTGTATTGACTCTTTGCCTGTTTGATGGTTCGTCGGAGGGCATAGCGGGATTTCTTATAAGCGTCCGGGTTAGAGTCCTTGAAAGCGGCAGCTCTACCCTTTAGCTCAGTGCGGATGTTGCCTGTAATCCATGGCTTCTGGTTGGGGTATGTACGTACGGTCACTGTGTGGACGACGTCATCGATGCACTTATTGATGAAGCCAGTGACTGATGTGGTGTACTCCTCAATGCCATCAGAAGAATCCCGGAACATATTCCAGTCTGTGCTAGAAAAACAGTCCTGTAGCTTAGCATCTGCATCATCTGACCACTTCCGTATTGACCGAGTCACTGGTGCTTCCTGCTTTAGTTTTTACTTGTAAGCAGGAATCAGGAGGATGGAATTATGGTCAGATTTGCTAAATGGAGGGCGTGGGAGAGCTTTGTACACGTCTCTGTGTGTGGAGTAAAGGTGGTCTAGAGTTGATGTTTTTTCCCTCTGGTTGCACATTTAACATGCTGGTAGAAATTAGGTAAAACGGATTTAAGTTTCCCTGCATTAATGTCCCCGGCCACTAGGAGCACCGCCTCTGGATGAGCATTTTCCTGTTTGCTTATGGCCTTATACAGCTCATTGAGTGCGGTCTTAGTGCCAGTATCAATTTTTGGTGGTAAATAGACAGCTACGAAAAATATAGATGAATAGTGTGGTCTACAGCTTATCATGAGATACTCTACCTCAGGTGAGCAAATCCTTAATATTAGATTTTGTGCACCAGCTGTTGTTTACAAATATACACAGACCGCCACCCCTTGTCTTACTGGAGTCGGCTGTTCTATCTTGCCGATGTAGCGTATATCCCGCCAACTGTATGTTGTCCATGTCGTCGTTCAGCCACGACTCGGTGAAACATAAGATATTACAGTTTATAATGTCCCGTTGGTCGGATATTCGTGATCGTAGCTCGTCAATTTTGTTATCCAATTAATGTACGTTGGCTAATAGGACTGATGGAAGAGGCAGTTTACCCACTCGCCGTCGGATCCTTACAAGGCACCCCGACCTACGTCCCCGATATCTCCGTCTCTTTCTCCTGCGAATGGCGGGGATTTGGGCCTTGTCGGGTGTCTGAAGTAAATCCTTCGCGTCCGACTCGTTGAAGAAATAATCTTTGTCCAGTATGAGGCGAGTAATCGCTGTCCTGATATCCAGAAGATCTTTTCGGTCGTAAGAGACGGTGGCAGAAAAATTATGTACAAAATAAGTTACAAATAACGCCAAAAAAAAACAATTGTTCAGGAGACCGTAAAATGGCAGCCATCTCCTCCAGCGCCATTCCTCCAGCGCCATTCCTCCAGCGCCATTCCTCCAGCGCCATCTCCTCCAGCGCCATTCCTCCAGCGCCATTCCTCCAGCGCCATCTCCTCCAGCGCCATTCCTCCAGCTCCATTCCTCCAGCGCCATTCCTCCAGCGCCATTCCTCCAGCGCCATTCCTCCAGCGCCATTTCACTGGCAACATTCAGGTTTGAAATCCCTTCTGTTTTGGTTTGGTTGTAGAGGTGACTCCTTGGTTAGTTACCTTTTCTGTTGAGCGACCACATCTGTGGCTCGTTTCAGAAAACTAGGTTGCGCGTCACTACTTCACAGCAAAGGCATTTGAACGTAAACATTTCTTTTTTTTATAAAAATGCCTTTTTTGGCAGAAATGCCTTTTGGAACATGTGACCTTGCATGTGCTTTAGTAACAAACGTGTATTCCATCCGTAAATACGAATAAAACTGTTAAATACGAGCCTAGTTGGTTTAGCCACGGAAAAATACTTGAAATATATAAGTTAGCCATCGAGAACTACCAAAGTTTTGCTACTTTTCTAACAACATTGAAGCCTTGAATTTAGCGGGCGCTATCGACAGATCAGTTGGGAAAAGTGATGGGCTACTTTCTGCACATGCCACGGTCAGTGTGAACCGGAGTGACTTGACACAACGCTGGCCAAACAAGATGAGGCTACAAACAACATGTGAACAGGTCTAGAAAATAGTGACCCATCCACTTAGCTAGATGTGGCTGGGGGGGTGGTTATAGCATTTCCTTCACATGATCCATCAGTTTAGACAAGTGTGTCGGGTAAGCATTATCTAATAATTATAAAATATTTATACAATATTTTTATCTGAACACTTTCTGTTTTTGATATTGCTACTATGCAAGTCACCGTTTCACTGTACCGTTTACACCTTCTGTATCCTGTGCATGTGACAAATAAACTTAGATTTTATTTGATATAGTGTGTGTTTACCAGAGACTGTAATGTGAAGAACAACATGACCTGCACCAAAGTCAGATTAGGATATAGGCCAAGGACTAGAAAAAGTGTATTTTTACCTGGAGTTTTTCCTTATTGTATGCTAATACTTTTACCACTTTTAGTCTTGAAATCTTTGGTTGTTTACTAAACTACTCACTCTGTTTAGCACATGGCCTCACATGTGAATCCTTAAAGAGATGGGTGGGGCTAAAGCTTAAGAGGGTGTGACCGATGCTGAATGGGTGTAGACCAGGCCTGGAGGGCCACAAGCGGTGGGAGTTAAATCATTACACAAAGGCCAGTGTTCATTGGGCTTTTAATTTGAATAACAAATACGTTTTTCAAAACTTTGTGATCTGAGCATGATTCCGCGGGCCGTATTGAATCAGGTCGCGGGCCGTTTTGAATCAGGTCGCGGGCCGTATTGAATCAGGTCGCGGGCCGCATTGAATCAGGTCGCGGGCCGTATTGAATCAGGTCGCGGGCCGCATACAGGCCCAGGCCTGATGTTGACAAAGAAGAGCTCTCCAAAACAATCAAGGGCCATTTTCTCAAAAGGTGGGGTTACAGGTTTATCAACTTTCAAAGCAGAATTACTTTCCCATTGTTCCTCAACTGTAGTGTATGATATACTATTTTCTAGCTCTGAGTCTCTACTTTTATCCAATGTAAAAAAAAAAACATTTCAAATGTTGCTACATTAGACCGAATCAAGCCGGTCTACAGGTTTGTCTTTAGGCACTAATCATCCCTATCATATCGTATAATCTTCAAACAGTGAAAGACGTCCTGAACATGTAAAGGGAGAAGAGTAAGGACTGGACCCTGAAGAACTCTGTATCCTTGTGGAATTACATTCTTCATCATCAACACAGTTTTAATGGCACAGACACTGTCTCCTGCCTGACTAGCTTTCATAATGATGACTGCTAAGGGTTTTGACAAACCCCTCAACATCTCTCCCTCTCCCTCTCCCTCTCCCTCTCCCTCTCCCTCTCCCTCTCCCTCTCCCTCTCTCTCTCTCTCTCTCTCTCTCTCCTCTCTCTCTCTCTCTCTCTCTCTCTCTCTCTCTCCTCTCTCTCTCTCTCTCTCTCTCTCTCTCTCTCTCTCTCCCTCTCTCTCCCTCTCTCTCTCCCTCTCTCTCTCCCTCTCTCTCTCTCCCTTCCTTCCATCCCTCTCTCCTCCACAGCTCAAGCCGGCGTGACAGTCAGCTAATTCCCCTCCTCCCTCGTGTTGTTGTCTCTCCTTCTCTTCCTCCCTCTCTTCCTCCACTAAGCCTGCCACTTAAAAGGATCTGACAGTCAGTTCAACACTAGAGAGAGAGAGAAAGATAGAGAGAGAGAGAGAGAGAGAGAGAGAGAGAGAGAGAGAGAGAGAGAGAGAGAGAGAGAGAGAGAGATGGAGAGGAAGGAAGGGGGGAACAGTGTGGAGCTTGCTGTGGGGGGGAGTGACCCACTTTACTCAGTGCTAACAAGCACACACTCACAGACACACACACACACACTCACAGACACACACACACTTCTACACATGAACTTAAAATACATAATACATACAGTATCAAACTCAACAGCCCGTCCCAGACCCATTCAGAAGAACCTACAGTACATCCCCTCCAACACTTTCCCAACTGCCCCTGTCATCAGGCAACCTGCTAAATGACCAGCCATCTTGGTGATGAAGTGGACGGTTCAAATCCTGTTTAAATCACAAACACAGAGCTAACACAGACTGACACCGCAGCTAGCTAGCTGCTATCGGTGGGTGAATTAATTATCTGCTCCTGAAGTTAGACTGAAGCTACACACGGATGGGCTGCTGCTCAAATGCTGACGAACCTGACAACAGACAACAGGAGAGACTGAGAGGAATGGGTAGGCATTAGCTGCTGGGACTAGTTTAGAGAGACTAGCATATAGCTGTTGGACTAGTTTAGAGAGACTAGCATATAGCTGTTGGACTAGTTTAGAGAGACTAGCATATAGCTGTTGGACTAGTTTAGAGAGACTAGCATATAGCTGCTGGACTAGTTTAGAGAGACTAGCATATAGCTGTTGGACTAGTTTAGAGAGACTAGCATATAGCTGATGGACTAGTTTAGAGAGACTAGCATATAGCTGCTGGACTAGTTTAGAGAGACTAGCATATAGCTGTTGGACTAGTTTAGAGAGACTAGCATATAGCTGTTGGGACTAGTTTAGAGAGACTAGCATATAGCTGTTGGACTAGTTTAGAGAGACTAGCATATAGCTTCTGGGACTAGTTTAGAGAGACTAGCATATAGCTGTTGGACTAGTTTAGAGAGACTAGCATATAGCTGTTGGACTAGTTTAGAGAGACTAGCATATAGCTTCTGGGACTAGTTTAGAGAGACTAGCATATAGCTGTTGGACTAGTTTAGAGAGACTAGCATATAGCTGCTGGGACTAGTTTAGAGAGACTAGCATATAGCTGCTGGACTAGTTTAGAGAGACTAGCATATAGCTGTTGGACTAGTTTAGAGAGACTAGCATATAGCTTCTGGGACTAGTTTAGAGAGACTAGCATATAGCTGTTGGACTAGTTTAGAGAGACTAGCATATAGCTGCTGGGACTAGTTTAGAGAGACTAGCATATAGCTGCTGGGACTAGTTTAGAGAGACTAGCATATAGCTGCTGGGACTAGTTTAGAGAGACTAGCATATAGCTGTTGGACTAGTTTAGAGAGACTAGCATATAGCTGTTGGACTAGTTTAGAGAGACTAGCATATAGCTGTTGGACTAGTTTAGAGAGACTAGCATATAGCTGCTGGACTAGTTTAGAGAGACTAGCATATAGCTGCTGGACTAGTTTAGAGAGACTAGCATATAGCTGTTGGACTAGTTTAGAGAGACTAGCATATAGCTGTTGGACTAGTTTAGAGAGACTAGCATATAGCTGTTGGACTAGTTTAGAGAGACTAGCATATAGCTGTTGGACTAGTTTAGAGAGACTAGCATATAGCTGTTGGACTAGTTTAAGAGAGGCCTCCTGTAGCTCAGTTGGTAGAGCATGGCGCTTGCATACGCCAGGGTTGTGGGTTTCGATTCCCACGGGGGGCCAGTATGAAAAATGTATGCACTCACTAACTGTAAGTCTCTCTGGATAAGAGCGTCTGCTAAATGACTAAAAATGAGAGAGACTAGCATATAGCTGTCACCCAATTCTACTCTCTCTTAAACTAGTCCAACAGCTATATGCTAGTCTCTCTCATTTTTAGTCATTTAGCAGACGCTCTTATCCAGAGCGACTTACAGTTAGTGAGTGCATACATTTTTCATACTGGCCCCCCGTGGGAAACGAACCCACAACCCTGGCGTTGCAAACGCCATGCTCCACCAACTGAGCTACAGGGAACTACATAGATAGCAGGCGTTTTCGGGGCTCCTGACAAATTCTGCAATTTTCGGTTTTCTGTTTTTTACGCTGATCTTAATTTTCTTTTGTACATAATGTCGCCGCCATAATATCCTATGACTGAAAACAGCTTCTGGACATCAGCACAACTAACCTCGATTCGGATGGCAATTTCTTTTTCAATGAGTCAGCAGCTCTGGATGTTCCGCTTACTCCCAGACCAGGCCCTAATCCCCGGGACTCGAAAGAGGAAGAGACGGCACGAGAGAGGCAAGCAAGCCGCTAGTCAGATGTGGCAGGGCTTGCCAACTATCATGGACTACAAAGGGAAACCCAACCGCAAGCTGACCAGTGACTGGAGGCTACCAAATGAGCTAAATGCCTTCTATGCTCGCTTTAAGGCGAGCAACACTGAACCATGAATGAGAGCACTAGCTGTTCCGGACGACTGTGTGATCTTGTTCTCTGTAGCAGATGTGAGTAAGACCTTTAAACAGGTTAACATTCACAAGGCCACGGGGCCAGACGGATTACCAGGATGCGTACTCAGAGCATGCGCTGACCAGCTGGCAAATGTCTTCACTGACATTTTCAAGGTAACCTTCTTAAATGACTATCGCCCCGTGCACTCACATCTGTAGCCATGAAATGCTTTGAAATGCTGGTCATGGCTCACATCAACACCATCATCCCAGAAACCCTAGACCCACTCCAATTCGCATACCGCCCCAACAGATCCACAGATGACGCTATCTCTATTGCACTCCACACTACCCTCTCCCACCTGGATAAGAGGAACACCTATGTGAGAATTTTACTGAGGAGTGGCTTCCGTCTGGCCACTCTAGCATAAAGGCCAGATTGGTGCTGCAGAGGTCGAAGGAGTTGTCTGTAGAGCTCCGAGACAGGATTGTGTCGAGGCACAGATCTGGGGAAGGGTACCAAAAAACTTCTGCAGCATTGAAGGTCCCCAAGAACACAGTGGCCTCCATCACTCTTAAATGGAACAAGTTTGGAACCACCAAGACTCTTCCTAGAGCTGGCCGCCCGGCCAAACTGAGCAATCGGGGGAGAAGGGCCTTGGTCAGGGAGGTGACCAAGAACCCGATGGTCACTCTGACAGACCTCCAGGGTTCCTCTGTGGAGATGGGATTACCTTCCAGAAGGACAACCATCTCTGCAGCATTCCACCAATCAGGCCTTTATGGTAGAATGGCCAGACATAAGCCACTCCTCAGTAAAAGGCACATGACAGCCCACTTGGAGTTTGCCAAAAGGCACCTAAAGGACTCTCAGACCATGAGAAACAAGATTCTCTGGTCTGATGAAACCAAGATTGAACTCTTTGGCCTGAATGCCAAGCGTCAAGTCTGTAGGAAACCTGGCACCATCCCTATGGTGAAGCATGGTGGTGGCAGCATCATGCTGTGGGGATGTTTTTCAGCAGCAGGGACTGGGAGACTAGTCAGGATCGAGGGAAAGATGAACGGAGCAAAGTACAGAGATATCGTTGATGAAAACCTGCTCCAGAGCGTTCAGGACCTCAGACTGGAGTGAAGGTTCACCTTCCAACAGGACAACGACCCTAAGCACACAGCCAAGTCTCTGAATGTCCTTGAGTGGCCCGGCCAGAGCCCAGACTTGAACCCAATCGAACATCTCTGAAGAGACCTGAAAATAGCTGTGCAGTGACGCTCCCCATCCAACCTGATAGAGCTTGAGAGGATCTGCAGAGAAAAATGGGAGAAACTCCCCAAATACAGGTGCGACAAGCTTGTAGCGTCATACCCAATAAGACTCAAGGCTGTAATCGCTGCCAAAGGTGCTTCAAAAAAGTACTGAGTAAAGGGTCTGAATACTTATGTAAACGTGATATTTCAGTTTTCTAAAAACCTGTTTTTACTTTATCATTATGGGGTATTGTGTGTAGATTGATGAGGAAAACAACAATTTAATAAATTTTAGAATAAGGCTGTAACCTAACAAAATGTGGAACAAGTCAAGGGGTCTGAATACTTTCCGAATGCACTGTAACTGTATAATGGTATTGTATTGTTGATGTGTTGATGTTAGCCTATACTCACGTATTTCAGTCTATAACTACCATGTGGGTATATTAAATAAAATAAACAAGTTCATGACACACCTATTCCACCAAAAGAGCAATGTCTTCATATTTCAGGTTTTTGTTTTTTCACAGGGTGTTCATTTAATGAATTGTTGTAAATCCCTTTCTGGTATTTGTGAGTTCAGCATTTTTCAACTGTCTGTTCTTTTCTGTATTATATTCAACCACTACTGTGGGTACTACTGTACTACTGTACTACTGTACTACTGTAATACTGTACTACTGTACTACTGTAATACTGTACTACTGTACTACTGTAATACTGTACTACTGTAATACTGTAATACTGTAATACTGTACTACTGTACTACTGTAATACTGTACTACTGTACTACTGTAATACTGTAATACTATACTACTGTAATACTGTACTACTGTAATACTGTAATACTGTAATACTATACTACAGTAATACTGTACTACTGTAATACTGTAATACTGTACTACTGTACTACTGTAATACTGTACTACTGTAATACTGTACTACTATACTACTGTAATACTGTACTACTGTAATACTGTACTACTGTAATACTGTACTACTGTACTACTGTAATACTGTAATACTATACTACTGTAATACTGTAATACTGTACTACTGTACTACTGTAATACTGTAATACTGTACTACTGTAATACTGTACTACTGTAATACTGTAATACTGTACTACTGTAATACTATACTACTGTAATAATGTACTACTGTAATACTGTAATACTGTACTACTGTAATACTGTAATACTGTAATACTATACTACTGTACTACTGTACTACTGTAATACTGTACTACTGTACTACTGTAATACTGTAATACTGTACTACTGTAATACTGTAATACTATACTGCTGTAATACTGTACTACTGTAATACTGTACTACTGTACTACTGTAATACTGTACTAATGTAATACTGTACTACTGTACTACTGTACTACTGTACTACTGTACTACTGTACTACTGTAATACTGTACTACTGTACTACTGTACTACTGTACTACTGTAATACTATACTACTGTAATACTGTAATACTGTACTACTGTAATACTGTAATACTGTACTACTGTAATACTGTACTACTGTACTACTGTACTACTGTAATACTGTAATACTGTAATACTGTACTACTGTAATACTGTACTACTGTACTACTGTAATACTGTACTACTGTACTACTGTACTACTGTAATACTATACTACTGTAATACTGTACTACTGTACTACTGTAATACTGTACTACTGTACTACTGTAATACTGTACTACTGTAATACTGTACTACTGTAATACTGTAATACTGTACTACTGTAATACTATACTACTGTACTACTGTACTACTGTACTACTGTACTACTGTAATACTGTACTGCTGTAATACTGTACTACTATACTACTGTAATACTGTACTACTGTAATACTGTACTAGCTGGTAAAATTAACTGTAACTAACTGTAATACTGTTACTACTGTAACTACGGTAAATACTGTAATAGACTGTAATACTGTACTACTGTAATACTGTAACTACTGTACTACTGGACTACTGTAATACTGTATACGTAATAACTGTACTAACTACTGTACTACTGTATACTAACCTGTACTATGTAATACTATACTACGTGTACTACTTACTACTGTAATACTGTAATTACTGTACTACCGGTAATACTGTACCTAACTGTAATACTGTAATACTGTACTACTGTACTACTGTAATACTGTACTACTGTACTACTGTAATACTGTACTACTGTACTACTGTAATACTGTAATACTGTACTACTGTACTACGCCTATATGCCATGTGGTGGAGGAAGAGAGATGCCATGTGGTGGAGGAAGAGAGATGCCATGTGGTGGAGGAAGAGAGATGCCATGTGGTGGAGGAAGAGAGATGCCATGTGGTGGAGGAAGAGAGATGCCATGTGGTGAGGAAGAGAGATTCCATGTGGTGGAGGAAGAGAGATTCCATGTGGTGGAGGAAGAGAGATTCCATGTGGTGGAGGAAGAGAGATGCCATGTGGTGGAGGAAGAGAGATGCCATGCGGTGGAGGAAGAGAGATGCCATGCGGTGGAGGAAGAGAGATGCCATGCGGTGGAGGAAGAGAGATGCCATGTGGTGGAGGAAGAGAGATGCCATGTGGTGGAGGAAGAGAGATGCCATGCGGTGGAGGAAGAGAGATTCCTCCACCACATGGCATGACTTGTTTAAGAGAAAGTAGCGTGCAGTAAGAAGAGGAGATAGTGATGTAGAAAGACAGATACAGGACATCCTCTACAGATATCAGAGGGAAAGACAGATACAGGACATCCTCTACAGATATCAGAGGGAAAGACAGATACAGGACATCCTCTACAGATATCAGAGGGAAAGACAGATACAGGACATCCTCTACAGATATCAGAGGGAAAGACAGATACAGGACATCCTCTACAGATATCAGAGGGAAAGACAGATACAGGACATCCTCTACAGATATCAGAGGGAAAGACAGATACAGGACATCATCTACAGATATCAGAGGGAAAGACAGATACAGGACATCCTCTACAGATATCAGAGGGAAAGACAGATACAGGACATCCTCTACAGATATCAGAGGGAAAGACAGATACAGGACATCCTCTACAGATATCAGAGGGAAAGACAGATACAGGACATCCTCTACAGATATCAGAGGGAAAGACAGATACAGGACATCCTCTACAGATATCAGAGGGAAAGACAGATACAGGACATCCTCTACAGATATCAGAGGGAAAGACAGATACAGGACATCCTCTACAGATATCAGAGGGAAAGACAGATACAGGACATCCTCTACAGATATCAGAGGGAAAGACAGATACAGGACATCCTCTACAGATATCAGAGGGAAAGACAGATACAGGACATCCTCTACAGATATCAGAGGGAAAGACAGATACAGGACATCCTCTACAGATATCAGAGGGAAAGACAGATACAGGACATCCTCTACAGATATCAGAGGGAAAGACAGATACAGGACATCCTCTACAGATATCAGAGGGAAAGACAGATACAGGACATCATCTACAGATATCAGAGGGAAAGACAGATACAGGACATCCTCTACAGATATCAGAGGGAAAGACAGATACAGGACATCCTCTACAGATATCAGAGGGAAAGACAGATACAGGACATCCTCTACAGATATCAGAGGGAAAGACAGATACAGGACATCCTCTACAGATATCAGAGGGAAAGACAGATACAGGACATCCTCTACAGATATCAGAGGGAAAGACAGATACAGGACATCCTCTACAGATATCAGAGGGAAAGACAGATACAGGACATCCTCTACAGATATCAGAGGGAAAGACAGATACAGGACATCCTCTACAGATATCAGAGGGAAAGACAGATACAGGACATCCTCTACAGATATCAGAGGGAAAGACAGATACAGGACATCATCTACAGATATCAAAGGGAAAGTGTTTGTAGCTCTAAGCAAGTAGAGATCCAGAACAGTTGATAGTCTCAAAACACTCCCAGATAGAGAGGACAAAAGAGATCGGACAGACTTCCACACAAACACAGAGACAAACACTGTTAACACACACATACTGTACGTACCGTGGTAGGTAGAGACAGAGAGAGGCTAAGGCTACTGGCTGTTAGGTCCTCCCAGCCGTGCCTGTGATGAGGTTCCATGTTCTCCTGATTGTCGCTGGGAGAAGAAGAAGAGGAGGCACAGGTACTGACCAGGTCTGGCAGGCTGGTGGACGGGTACCGCTGGAAATCCACTTCCGATTCCTCCTGGAAGAACCAGAGGAGAGGAGAGGAGAACAGTGGAGGAGTGAGTGTGGAAGGGATGGATGATGGTGTGTGTGTGTATGGAGGATGGTGTGTGTGTTTGTTCAGAAGAGTGGAAGGGACATATAGTGTGTGTTCTGTGTGTATTTTTAACTTTATCTCTGAAAGCCAGCCTGCATTTCCCTTCAAGCCCATTAAGATCTCAACTCCTGAATGTTTTAGATGTCCCCACACACACTACAACCCTTCCACTCTCCCACCCACACACTACAACCCTTCCACTAGCACACTACAACCCTTCCACTAGCACACTACAACCCTTCCACTAGCACACTACAACCCTTCCACTAGCACACTACAACCCTTCCACTAGCACACTACAACCCTTCCACTAGCACACTACAACCCTTCCACTAACACACTACCACCCTTCCACTAGCACACTACAACCCTTCCACTACCACACTACAACCCTTCCACTACCACACTACAACCCTTCCACTAGCACACTACAACCCTTCCACTACCACACTACAACCCTTCCACTACCACACACTCTCCCAAGGAGCTCTGCAAACAGCGCCGCGGAAGCAACGTTGAAAGAACCTACGGTACAATGCTCAAACAATACATTATACAATGTTGAGACAACATACAGTGGGGAGAACAAGTATTTGATACACTGCCGATTTTGCAGGTTTTCCTACTTACAAAGCATGTAGAGGTCTGTAATTTTTATCATAGGTACACTTCAACTGTGAGAGACAGAATCTAAAACAAAAATCCAGAAAATCTCATTGTATGATTTTTATGTAATTAATTTGCATTTTATTGCATGACATAAGTATTTGATCACCTACCAACCAGTAAGAATTCCGGCTCTCACAGACCTGTTAGTTTTTCTTTAAGAAGCCCTCCTGTTCTCCACTCATTACCTGTATTAACTGCACCTGTTTGAACTCGTTACCTGTATAAAAGACACCTGTCCACACACTCAATCAAACAGACTCCAACCTCTCCACAATGGCCAAGACCAGAGAGCTGTGTAAGGACATCAGGGATAAAATTGTAGACCTGCACAAGGCTGGGATGGGCTACAGGACAATAGGCAAGCAGCTTGGTGAGAAGGCAACTGTTGCCGCAATTATTAGAAAATGGAAGAAGTTCAAGATGACGGTCAATCACCCTCGGTCTGGGGCTCCATGCAAGATCTCACCTCGTGGGGCATCAATGATCATGAGGAAGGTGAGGGATCAGCCCAGAACTACACGGCAGGACCTTGTCAATGACCTGAAGAGAGCTGGGACCACAGTCTCAAAGAAAACCATTAGTAACACACTACGCCGTCATGGATTAAAATCCTGCAACGCATGCAAGGTCCCCCAGCTCAAGCCAACGCATGTCCAGGCCCGTCTGAAGTTTGCCAATGACCATCTGGATGATCCAGAGGAGGAATGGGAGAAGGTCATGTGGTCTGATGAGACAAAAATAGAGCTTTTTGGTCTAAACTCCACTCGCCGTGTTTGGAGGAAGAAGAAGGATGAGTACAACCCCAAGAACACCATCCCAACCGTGAAGCATGGAGGTAGAAACATCATTCTTTGGGGATGCTTTTCTGAAAAGGGGACAGGACGACTGCACCGTATTGAGGGGAAGATGGATGGGGCCATGTATCGCGAGACCTTGGCCATTTACCTCCTTCCCTCAGTAAGAGCATTGAAGATGGGTCGTGGCTGGGTCTTCCAGCATGACAACGACCCGAAACACACAGCCAAGGCAACTAAGGAGTGGCTCCGTAAGAAGCATCTCAAGGTCCTGGAGTGGCCTAGCCAGTCTCCAGACCTGAACCCAATAGAAAATCTTTGGAGGGAGCTGAAAGTCCATATTGCCCAGCGACAGCCCCGAAACCTGAAGGATCTGGAGAAAGTCTGTATGGAGGAGTGGGCCAAAATCCCTGCTGCAGTGTGTGCAAACCTGGTCAAGACCTACAGGAAACGTGTATATCTCTGTAATTGCAAACAAAGGTTTCTGTACCAAATATTAAGTTCTGCTTTTCTGATGTATCAAATACTTATGTCATGCAATAAAATGCAAATTAATTACTTAAAAATCATACAATGTGATTTTATGGATTTTTGTTTTAGATTCCGTCTCTCACAGTTGAAGTGTACCTATGATAAAAATGACAGACCTCTACATGCTTTGTAAGTAGGAAAACCTGCAAAATCGGCAGTGTATCAAATACTTGTTCTCCCCACTGTAGATACAAAAACGTATTGTACAATGTTGAGACAAGGTATTGTACACGGTTGAGATGTGGATGTGGACTGCAGTGTGAGGGAATGGCAGAGGCAGTGTGAGGGAATGGCAGAGGCAGCGTGAGGGAATGGAAGAGGCAGCGTGAGGGAATGGAAGAGGCAGTGTGAGGGAATGGAAGAGGCAGTGTGAGGGAAGAGGCAGTGTGAGGGAATGGCAGAGGCAGTGTGAGGGAATGGCAGAGGCAGTGTGATGGAATGGCAGAGGCTCGTCTCATAGGGGCTGTTCCAGACTACTGTCATGGTGGGCTGGTCTGTTCTAGTGCTTTGACAGTCGCCGAAGCATCAGCCATGTGGATGCTACACTTTGACAGTGGATGATCCAGCCTACCTACGGAGGAGGAGGAGGAGGAGGAGGAGGAGGAGGAGACAACGTGCCTGATGAAGAGCTCCAGGCCTGTCTACTATTATCTGACTGACTTTTCTCCCTGTCTGTCTGTATCATTGATGTTCCCTCAGGTCTTTTCTCCCTGTCTGTCTGTATCATTGATGTTCCCTCAGGTCTTTTCTCCCTGTCTGTCTGTATCATTGATGTTCCCTCAGGTCTTTTCTCCCTGTCTGTCTGTATCATTGATGTTCCCTCAGGTCTTTTCTCCCTGTCTGTCTGTATCATTGATGTTCCCTCAGGTCTTTTCTCCCTGCCTGTCTGTATCATTGATGTTCCCTCAGGTCTTTTCTCCCTGTCTGTCTGTATCATTGATGCTCAAGCCGCTGCCACCTACAACCTTTCTGTACTGCTTCAAGACATCTGAAGCTGTGGAAGACCATCAACAATGAACTGCCAGATCCCAATTTTTTTTATTTTTTGCAAAGTGACTTTGAGATGATTGATTGTAATGAAAAAGCGCTATATAACATAAATATATTATTGACTGCTGAAACCCTATCGTATGTGTTGGTTACTAGCCCTCTCCTTCCGTAACGACACATTCACATACACATTCCCGTGAGATGGTAGGCGGTTGCAACCTTGCATAACGGTAAAGGGCCAAAGGCCACGCCCTCTCATGCTATGCCATGTAAATCGAACAGATTGGTGGTGCTACAACATTCACATTTTCATTTTTAGTCATTTAGCAGACGCTCTTATCCAGAGCGACTTACAGGAGCAATTAGGGTCAAGTGCCTTGCTCAAGGGCACATCGACAGATTTCTCACCTAGTCGGCTCGGGGATTAGAACCAGCGACCTTTCGGGTACTGGCACAAAGCTCTTAACCACTAAGCTACCTATAACAAGCGATTCAAAATGAAAACTTTGAAAAGTCACGCCCCTCACGTTTGCCCTAGAGTCATGAAATTCGGTAAATAGGTCCCTCTCCTCACAAGGAACACATTTGCATCTAGGACCCATAAGGTCTGGCATGATGGATTTTCCTCCATTTAGAATTTTGTGAAAAACACTTAAGAAGCTACTCCTCTGGCACCGAATGACCGATCTGCATGAAACTTGATATGTGGCATCTACGGACAACGTTTTCCCAACTCAATACTTTCCAGACTAGTACCTAAAACAACAATGACCAATAAGCATTAATGTGGGCGTGGTCTGGCATTTAAATGCATATATAAATCAGTCACGGGTATTCGTATTGTAACACCACATGTTCCAAACACTGTGAAGACTACATGCAAGCACATTCACATGGACCACACGGTGGCGCTATAACAAGCACATGTTTAAATCTCTTGATCTGTTTGACTCAAGAGTGATGAAATTTGGCACACATGCTCAGGGATATGAGTCCACCTAACCTGTAAAGTATAATTCCGTTTGGATCCATAGTCGCGCTGTTGGACAGTGAAAAACATGAATGCAAGCTCATTGGCTCACAGCGGCCATATTGTTTGAGCGAGAGTCCTAAAACATTTCAAGACGTGCATCCATAGATGCTATGTACCAAATTTGGTTCCGATCGGTCCAGTGGTTCTGGAGAAGAAGACGTTTAAAGCAGTCAACGTCATTAGAAATAGTCAAAAATACATTAAAGCATACTGCATGATCAGTTAGATTTTTAGTTCACAGCTTGGACCCCGGCATTGCTGCTTGCAGCTATATTTATTATTAGTATTATGTTGAAACAATGTATTGAAACAAGGTACATGTATTGTACAACATTTAAACATACTGCACCAGGCTAAATACTTAGTGTCTAGCCAGGGAATTAGTGTACCAAGTCCTAACATGCAAATGAGTGCACTTAGTGATTAGTGTCGGATTCTTCACATTTCTGCTTTTGTCCGCATTGATAATCTCTCCTTTTCCAGTTTCCTTTCCTGCTCTGCAGCTGTATATTGACATATCAGGTGTTCTGGTGTCGTCTGTTAGAACATGGAGCTTTTCTATGTCAATACTATATGAGTATATAATCAATATATATATATACATATATATCAATACAAATATGAGTATATAATCAATATATATATATATATATATATATCAATACAAATATGAGTATATAATCAATATATATATCAATACAAATATGAGTATATAATCAATATATATATCAATACAAATATGATCATATAATCAATATATATATATATATCAATACAAATATGAGTATATAATCAATATATATATCAATACAAATATGAGTATATAATCAATATATATGTCAATACAAATATGAGTATATAATCAATATATATATATCAATACAAATATGAGTATATAATCAATTTATATGTCAATACAAATATGAGTATATAATCAATATATATATCAATACAAATATGAGTATATAATCAATATATATATATATATATCAATACAAATATGAGTATATAATCAATATATATATATATCAATACAAATATGAGTATATAATCAATTTATATGTCAATACAAATATGAGTATATAATCAATATATATATCAATACAAATATGAGTATATAATCAATATATATATATATATCAATACAAATATGAGTATATAATCAATATATATATATATCAATACAAATATGAGTTGTTCTCCTTTACTTTGTTTGTGTGCGTGTGCGTGTGCGTGTGTCTGTGTGTGTGTGTGTGTGTGTGTCTGTGTGTGTGTCTGTGTGTGTGTGTGTGTGTGTGTGTGTGTGTGTGTGTGTGTGTGTGTGTGTGTGTGTGTGTGTGTGTGTGTGTGTGTGTGTGTGTGTGTGTGTGTCTGTGTGTGTGTGTGTGTGTGTGTGTGTGTGTGTGCTACTCACCCTGCTAGCGACGACCAGTTGTACCAGTCCAGCGGTGGAGCGTAGGACGTCTACAGCCTCTGAATGAGACAGGCCAACCAGAGACTGACCGTTGATCATCAGGAGCTCATCACCAGCCTTCAGGCGCCCGTCCCTAACACACACATACACATTTCACGGTAAAGTCTACATCTGTTGTATTCTGCTCATGTGACATATACAATGTTATATGATAGGACAAATACGCACACACGCACGCAAGCACGCGTGCACATACAAACATTTAATACTTTATTTGAAACCACAAATCACGCTTAATACTTATTTAGAATCCCCCCACACTCACACAGAAGCACTTACCCTAACAAACTACAAAAGAGCATAAACAACATTTCACAGATTAGATGTTCCAGGATTAATTCGATAACATTGAGGAGTTTACCACATCAGTCACCGGCTTCATTAATAAAAGCATCGACGACATCGTCCCCACAGTGACCATAGGTACATATCCTAAACAGAAGCCATGGATTACAGCTCTGACGCTCGTCGGATGTGGCAGGGCTTGTAAACTAGCACGGATTACAAAGGGAAACCCAGCCGCGAGCTGCCCAGTGATTCGAGCCTACTAGACGAGCTATATGCCTTCTATGCTCGCTTCGAGGCAAGCAACACTGAACCATGCATGAGAGAACCAGCTGTTCCGGAACAACTGTGTGATCACTCTCTCTGTAGCCGATGTGAGTAAGACCTTTAAGCAGGTTAACATTCACAAGGCCGCAGGGCCAGATTGATTATCAGGACGCGTACTCAGAGCATCTGACCAGCTAGCAAGTGTCTTCACTGACATTTTCAAACTCCCCCTGACCCAGTCTGTAATACCTACACGTTTCAAGCAGACCACCATAGTCCCTGTGCCCAAGAAACGCCAAGGTAACCTGTCTAAAATGACTATCGCCCCGTAGCACTCACGTCTGTAGCCATGAAATGCTTTGAAAGGCTGGTCATGGCTCACATCAACATTATCATCCCAGACACCCTGTACCCAGTACAATTTCCATACCACCCCAACAGATTCACAGATGACGCAATATCTATTGCACTCCACACTGCCTTTTCCCAACTGGAAAAAAAGGAACACCTATGTGAGAATGCTGTTCATTGACTACAGCTCAGCGTTCAACACTATAGTGCCCACAAAGCTCATCACTAAGATAAGGACCCTGGGATTAAACACCTCCCTCTGCAATTGCATACTGGACTTTCTGACGGGCTGCCCACAGGTGGTGAGGGTCAGCAACAACACATCCGCCACGCTGACCCTCAACACGGGGGCTCCTCAGGGGTGCATGCTTACTCCCTGTTCACCCACGACTGCGTGGCCGCACACGACTCCTACACCATCATTATGTTTGCTGATGACACAACAGTGGTAGGCCTCAACACCGACGGCAATGAGACAGCCTACAGAGAGGTCAGAGACCTGGCAGTGTGACAACAACCTCTCCCTCAACGTCAGCAAGACAAAGGAGCTGATTGTGGACTACAGGAAACAAAGCGGCTATAGTGGAGCGGGTCGAGAGCTTGAAGTTCCTCCGTGTCCACATCACGTCTTGGCTGATTTCTTTTGATTTTCCCATGATGTCAAGCAAAGAGGCACTGAGTTTGAAGGTAGGCCTTGAAATACATCCACAGGTACACCTCCAATTGACTCAAATGATGTCAATTAGCCTATCAGAAGCTTCTAAAGCCATGACATCATTTTCTGGAATTTTCCAAGCTGTTTAAAGGCACAGTCAACTTAGTGTATGTAAACTTCTGACCCACTGGAATTGTGATACAGTGAAATATAAGTGAAATAATCTGTCTGTAAACAATTGTTGGAAAAATTACTTGTGCCATGCACAAAGTAGATGTCCTAACCAACTTGCCAAAACTATAGTTTGTTAACAAGAAATTTGTGGAGTGGTTGAAAAGCGAGTTTTAATGACTCCAACCTAAGTGTATGTAAACTTCCGACTTCAACTGTACGCTGCTGCTACTGTTTATTATCTATCCTGTTGCCAAGTCACTTCATCCCTACCATATCCCTGCACATGGTATCCCGTGTATATAGCCAAGTTATCATTGGGTATTTATTTCTCGTGTTATTATCTTCATCTCTGCATTGTTGGGACTAGGCATCAGGATATATGATAAACAGAGTAGCAGCAGTATATATGATGACTGTATGTGAGTGTGTGTGTGCGTGTGTGTCGAGTTCGTATGAATGTGTGTGCGTGTCATGTGTGTGTGAGCAAATTAAGTATGTGTGTGTGTGTGTGTGTTGGTATTTAGCAGTCGGTTTGTTAGCCATTCTGTTAGCTATTTAGCAGTCAGTCTGTTAGCCATTCTGTTAGCTATTTAGCAGTCAGTCTGTTAGCCATTCTGTTAGCTATTTAGCAGTCTTACGGCTTGGGGATAGAAGCTGTTCAGGAGCCTGTTGGTGTCAGACTTGTAGCTCAGGTACCACTTTCCGTGCGGAACCAGACAGAACAGTCTGTTCCCTGTAAATGGAACGACAGACCAGCCAGTGAAACACAGCCATTGTGGATGCTAAAGATATGAGTCATGTCTGCTGTGTGTGGCTATGTGTGTGTGTGTGGGGGGGGGGGGGGGGGGGGGGGGGGGGGGGGGGTGGTTCCATCTCAAAGCTGGAAAGATATTAAGCAGAACGGACGCTGAGGAGAACAAGGTTAGAGCTGGCCTCTGTTAATAAGATCAGCTGGAGACCGCACACACGCACACACACACACACACACACACACACACATAGTCTTGCACAACTAACCTTGAGGGGACACATAATTCAGTCCCATTCAAAATCCTATTTTCCCTAAACCCTAAAACTAACCCTAGCTCCCAAACCTAACCCCTAAACCTAATTCTAAACCTAACACTAATTCTAACCTTAAACCTAAACCCCTTAGAAATAGCATTTGACCTTGTGAGGACCAACAAAATGTCCCCAGTTGGTCCAATTTTTGTTTGTTTACTATGCTTGTGTGGACTTCAGGTCCCCACACGTATAGTTAAATACGTCCACACAAACACATATTTGGAGCTCACAGAGAATATAATATTTGCAGCAATCATTTACCCCTGTTGTTATTTTCTAAGCAAGCCCCAGAATAGGCCCGGGTGGACTCCTTTCTTATTTAGCTTAAACAGAACCCAGGGGGTCATTGAGAAGGTTTTAGGGTTAGTCCAAGTCAGAACTTGACAGGGGGGTCATTGAGAAGGTTTTAGGGTTAGTCCAAGTCAGAACTTGACAGGGGGGTCACTGAGAAGGTTTTAGGGTTAGTCCAAGTCAGAACTTGACAGGGGACAGTCTGATTCATACTATAGAATAGATGAGGGGACCAGGATGGTAGAGTAGTAGTAGTAGTAATATAATGTATATACTATAGTAGGACGAGTAGCTGATTTAGGATCAGGGCCCCTTCTGGCTATGTAATCTCATTCAATGTAATCATGAAGGCTAAACTGATCCTAAATCAGCACTCCTACTCTGAGATCAAAATCAAATCAAATGTTATTTGTCACACGCACCGTAAAATGCTTACTTACAAGTCCTTAACCAACAATACAGTTCAAGAAATAGAGGTGAAAAGGAACACAATAAAATAACAATAACGAGGCTATAACTATACATTTTACATTTTACATTTTAGTCATTTAGCAGACGCTCTTATCCAGAGCGACTTACAGTTAGTGAGGTCATACATTACTTTATTTTATTTTATTCATACTGGCCCCCCGTGGGAATCGAACCCACAACCCTGGCGTTGCAAACGCCATGCTCTACCAACTGAGCTACCTCCCTGCCGGCCATTCCCTCCCCTACCCTGGACGACGCTGGGCCAATTGTGCGCCGCCCCATGGGTCTCCCTATATACAGGGGGTACCGGTACCGAGTCAATGTGCGGGGGACAGGTTAGTCCAGGTAATTTGCACATGTAGGTAGGGGTAAAGTGACTATGCATAGATAATAAACAGCGAGTAGCAGCAGCGTAAAAACAAATGTAAGAAGTCCGGGTGACCATTTGATTAATTGTTCAGCAGTCTTATGGCTTGAGGGTAGAAGCTGTTAAGGAGCCTTTTGGACCTAGACTTGGTCCTCCGGTAGGAAGCTTGGTCCCAGTGATGTACTGGGCCGTACGCACTACCCTCTGATGCGCCTTTACGGTCGGATGCCAAGCAGTTGCCATACCAGGCAGTGATGCAACCGGTCAGGATGCTCTCGATGGTGCAGCTGTAGAACTTTTTGAGGATCTGGAGACCCATGCCAAATCTTTTCAGTCTCCTGATGGGGAAAAGGTGTTGTCATGCCCTCTTCACGACTGTCTTGGTGTGTTTGGACCATGATAGTTTGTTGGTGATGTGGACACCAAGGAACTTGAAACTCTCTACCCACTCCACTACAGCCCCGTCGGTGTGAATGGGGGCGTGTTCGGCCCTCCTTTCCCTGTAGTCCACGATCATCTCCTTTGTCTTGGTCACGTTGAGGGAGAGGTTATTGTCCTGGCACCACACATCCAGGTCTCTGACCTCCTCCCTATAGGCTGTCTCATCGTTGTCGGTGATCAGGCCTACCGCTGTTGCGTCGTCGGCAAACTTAATGATGGTGTTGGAGTCGTGCCTGGCCATGCAGTCATGGGTGAACAGGGAGTACAGTAGGGGACTAAGCACGCACCCCTGAGGGGCCCCCGTGTTGAGGATCAGGGTGGCAGATGTGTTGTTGCCTACCCTTACCACCAGGGGGCGGCCCGTCAGGAAGTCCAGGATCCAGTTGCAGAGGGAGGTGTTTAGTCCCAGGGTCCTTAGCTTAGTGATGAGCTTTGTGGGCACTATTGTGTTGAACGCTGAGCTGTAGTCAATGTACAGCATTCTCACATAGGTGTTCCTTTTGTCCAGGTGGGAAAGGGAAGTGTGGAGTGCGATTGAGATTGTGTCATCTGTGGATCTGTTGGGGCGGTATGTGAATTGGAGTGGGTCTAGGGTTTCCGGAAAGATGTTGTTGATGTGAGCGATGACCAGCCTTTCAACGCACTTCATGGCTACCGACGTGAGTTCTACGGTGCGGTAGTCATTTAGGCAGGTTACCTTCACTTTCTTGGGCATAGGGACTATGGTGGTCTGCTATGGTGGTCTGCTAGGTATTACAGACTCGGTCAGGGAGAGGTTGAAAATGTCAGTGAAGACACTTGCCAGTTGGTCTGCGCATACTCTGAGTACACGTCCTGGTAATCCGTCTGGCCCCGCGGCCTTGTGAATGTTGACCTGTTTAAAGGTCTTGCTCACATCGGCTATGGAGAGCGTGATCACACATTCGTCTGGAACAGCTGGTGCTCTCATGCATGGTTCAGTGTTGCTTGCCTCGAAGCGAGCATAAAAGGCATTTAGCTCGTCTGGTAGGCTCGCGTCACTGGGCAGTCCGCAGCTGGGTTTCCCTTTGTAGTCCGTAATAGTTTGCAAGCCTTGCCACATCCGACAAGCGTCAGAGCCGGTGTAGTACGATTCAATCTTAGTCCTGTATTGACGCTCTGCCTGTTTGATGGTTCGTCTGAGGTCATAGTGGGATTTCTTATAAGCGTCCGGATTAGTGTCCCGCTCCTTGAAAGCAGCAGCTCTAGCCTTTAGCTCAGTGCGGATGTTTCCTGTAATCCATGGCTTCTGGTTGGGGTATGTACGTATGATCACTGTGGGGTCGAATTCGTCGATTCACTTATTGATGAAGCCGGTGACTGAGGTGGTATACTCCTCAATGCCATTGGATTAATCCCGGAACATATTCCAGTCTGTGCTAGCAAAACAGTCCTGTAGCTTAGCATCCGTATCATCTGACCACTTCCGTATTAAGCGAGTCACTGGTACTTCCTGCTTTAGTTTTCGCTTGTAAGCAGGAATCAGGAGAATAAAATTATGGTCAGATTTGCCAAACGGAGGGCGAGGGAGAGCTTTGTATGCGTCTCTGTGTGTGGAGTAAAGGTGGTCTAGAGTTTTTTTCCCCTCTGGTTGCACATGTGACATGCTGGTAGAAATTAGGTACAACTTTAAGTTTGCTTGCATTAAAGTCCCCGGCCACTAGGAGCGCCGCTTCTGGATGAACATTTTCTTGTTTGCTTTTGACCTTATACAGCTCTTTGAGTGTGGTCTTAGTGCCAGCATCGGTTTGTGGTGGTAAATAGACGGCTACGAAAAATATAGATGAAAACTCTCTTGGTAGATAGTGTGGTCTACAGCTTATCATGAGATACTTCATGAGAAAATCTTCATCCAGTTCGAGGTGAGTAATCGCTGTTCTGATATCCAGAAGCTCTTTTTGTTTTCCCATCTCAGAAGTTAAATTAAAAAAAAATGACTATAGTAAGTGCTTATTAACTGCCAAATAAAGTAACATGGTTGGCCGTAACATGGTTGGCCGTAACATGGTTGGCCGTAACAGGGTTGGCCGTAACAGGGTTGGCCGTAACAGGGTTGG